GAGCATGATATTCATCCATACCTATTCGTAATCTCTGCCCACGGACCTACCGACCTCAGTTCAGATGATACAAGCATTAACTGTATCAAAAGCCGTCACTTTTGCTGCAGAAAGCAAAACGTTCAGATGTATTCATACTAGCATGTTATTGCTACACTCAAGTACGAATACTGAACCAATCGGAATCTCATCTTGGAGGTATCTACGGGATAGCATACCAACAAACTGACAACGATGATCGTCTCTTACTATTTGGTGCTAACAACCACTTGTTTCTAACCAGTACTACCTTAAAGTATAAAAGCAGAAACTGTTCCAATCGAGGTTAACCAATATCAAACCAACCATGGATACAAGTAGATCATGTTGCAATGAGCTATTGCTGGAGAATTGCCTCTTTCTATGGGGTATCTACTTGAACTGTAGTCATGTGTTAATCCCAATACACGTATGGTTGCACTCTGCTGTTCGTAGGGACCAAATAGCAATGAAGTCTCTCTGTTATTGACTCAAAAATGAGAATGTCAAGCATATATTTAACTTGGAATTTATCGGTACATGGTAAAATTATCTTCCTAAACAAATCTACCGTGATATTCAGTTCACTGCAGAAATAGCTGCGAAGACAGTTTGTAGCGTATATCCATGGATTTCGGAGATCAGATCTGAATTGATCACTTAGGGAGTAGTCATTCCAGCGGGTTCTGACCAGAATGAAGACTCAGAGCAGCTGAGACGTGAATTGAACAACAGCCTTCAGAATATTCGCGAGCAGTTGTGGGTGGGGAAGGTGAGAGAAATAGAGAGAGCAGCAACAGCAGACAACTATTTAGGTTTACTATGGATACTGTAAAGAAGAAAACAGTGATTATTCCCACTGTCATCAGAAAGAAAGGGTTTCTCGATAACCTGTCAAGACAGGTGACTGGAACGTAAGTGTAAGACCTCGAAGAACTGTTCCCCTGAGTCACAGCTACGCATCAGTCTCCCAGCATCCAGCGTGACTGTGACTGGAATATAGGCGCCGGTCTTCCAGTTGTTCTCAAAGATGAGAATGCCGTTTCAAATCTGAAACGATGCAAGGCAGAAGGACGTAGTAGTTTTCCACCCAAAACTTTTAAGTGCGTAGTTATGAAATTACTGAGTCGAGTAAAGGGGGTAGTAGGCAGATTTTGTTGGGCTCTGAGGTATCCCTAACACACTGATGTACTTTGCTGATCATTCGTTCATAAGAAGAGAGAGAGAAGTTGTTCTTGTGATAGCCACAGAGTGATCACTTTTACTAACATCGTATCCAAGGTTGTGGAGTTCATGGTTATCTGACGCTGAATAAGTTTTTCTCGTTGAGATATCCAACTTCCTTGGAAAGGAAGAAGTTTACTATAAAGCAGTCCACTGTGTTCTGTTATACTGCTGTGACACAAGGAATGAAATATAAAGTGTGTTAAAAGTTACAGGTTTTTGTCGGGAGGTTTCTTTGGAGCATTGCCAGTGTCTTTTGAAATCATCGGATGAGCAATGTCGAGGTTGGGCTAAGGCTAACTGTTCAAGAAAAGCAAGCAAATCAATTAGGCTGTTGAACTTCAACAACTGAGGTGGCTTTGATACATGTCGCGTATACTGGCCCACCGCCTGCCTACACTGACATACAATTCTAGCTTAAGTTGGACTGGGTTATAAGGAAGTTCAGGGTGGCCAGACCGAGAAGCAGCATCAGTCGGTCTAGTCTATGACTGTTAGTCGGAGCCGTGTAAGAAGATATGATTTGCCTGGTCGGGGTTCTCGAGATAATAGAAATCAGTGGTTTCAGACCGTTGGTGAAATGGCTTAAAATTGGTTACAACGGTACAGATGTACTGACTATAAAGTTTTCTAAAGTTGGCATATTTCCACTAACCTTCACATTTTAAATTCTGTTTCCGATTAACCATTGTCTCCTTTGATATCACTCTGTTTATCCACTTGTTCTTTGCATGGTATTGTGAAGTGCAGCAACTTGAACTAATGCAGCTCTGTGTTAGTTTCTGTCTTCATCTTTCAAGTTCGACCTTACCAGTACCTGGAATCAGTCAATGAAGTCTCTGACTATTGGTCTGAGTTATGTGTGGATTTTAAGCTGCCTGGCTGGCATTCTCGGGATGATCTCTGTCTGTACTGGTTATCAATAACGGCTGTTTCAGTTTCGCATCCTTCGAGTATATGTGTACTGTGAATTGTGGCAACCTGAGCCGATGCACCTGTGTACGAGATTCTACATTCATTTTGTCTGTCAGTCGGACAGTCAATAATTAGAGAATGTATATTATTATTATTATTATCATCATCCAGTATATAAGCTCCTATTTGTTATTAGTAGTTAGTAATTTTACGCAACCAGAATGTGAATTTACATCCTTTCTTCGAACAATAAGGTAAGATTTATTGCTGATTTTACTACGTTACTCATATGGATTTGTGTGGTTGTTTATGGTTGAAATTAATCAGCCTTAGTACAGAATCCGAAATTATTTAGCAGGATGGATATGTTGTTATGTAACAATGAGCTGATGAAGGGAACGGCTATGACCTTGATCATACTGCACTACTAGAAAAGTAGACATTGAAAATCTTCAACAGTTAAAATTTGGGCCAAAAAGTAAGTATGAATCATTGACCAGAAATGCACATCGGTATCTTTCCAATACTCATTTTTAGCACTCCACCTGAACTCACTCTGTTTTTCTTTGTAAGTTCTGGACAATCAGTAATTTGAAACGAAACGCGCATCCAGCACTAGTCACCAAGCAGACATCAGTCAGTAACTTTAACTTTCTTTTTTCAAATATTGGTTTAGTGATTCAGGAGATACCTGGAAACTGCTAATTTTGTACTGAACCTTCTTAGCCTAATCTCGATATTGGCTTTGAATTTATGTCTTCAAATGATTCTCATGGTCTATCGGTCGTGTGGTCGTGTTAACACTCCTCAAAACACATGATTTTTGACATTCGCCTACTTGTTTTTAGTTCATAATGATTACTTTCCTCAAATTAATCAGTGTTACATGTATAACTTAGGTGAACAAAATGTATTGACAACAGTATCACAAAATTCTTGCTCATTTTTAGATCGGTGACTTCCTTAGTCGTTTTGCAATCTCCGATCAGGATAGTCCAATCGCAAAGCTTTCTTTATTGTCTTTCTGAGCAAAGTCAACACCACTAACTTAAATATGCAGTAAGGTATCAGGAATTCTCCGTGAAGGATTCAGTAGTCTGTCCGGACGACATAGCCTATGATAGGTTGTTCTTTTCGACTATTTTGTTATTGCTTGTGCATAATTTCCTATTCTCTGATTCTTTATCTGACATATTGCTCCTATGTCTACCTACTTGTTCATTGTTAAACGACCTGAATACCAAGATTTCAGAAATTCCCTTACATTTCTTTTGATTCCTCAATCCGAGATATTTACTTGGTCAGGATTGAGTTCACATTGTTCACATGCATCAATATAAGGGATTAAATGTCATGATGTTCAGTTGATAGCTGGTGTGATTGTGTGAACGAAGATGACAATCTAACTAACAGAGCTCAGCAGTACTAAAAAAGTTCATCGGAGCTACGAATATTCTTCAGGATTTCTTAATGAGCTTTTCTTATGATTAAATTTACAAAGAACTGTTAAATGGTCATACCAAGATATGAATACAAATAGACTGAGCAAAGTAGAAACTTGAGCAGCGAAGCTGCATCAGTTAAAGATGTAGTAAAATCAAAAGACGAAGACTTTTTGATGATAAACATGTAGTCGGAGATTACGCTACACAGATATGACACCATGGTAACAGAAATATCAGCTTCATCCGAGAAATTCTTAAGTATTTTTAATATCATAAAGGACTGTAAAACTGAAAATCAACAAGTTTGAAAAAAGTTATGATCATTATTTAGGATAAGTAATTTTTCACGGTCTTTTTTGTTAAGTCGTACTATTCTGCCTCTGTCAGCATAGACACACTAACATGAGTTCACCTTGAAATTCCCGTGATTCTCATTTCAATGTTGTGGTTTGGTTATGAATAGGAGATGTGTCCAAGAATTTTCATTTGGGTATACCTGTATCTCAAGAAGTTATGGTGGTTTCATTGAAAATTGAACAGAGGCTGCTCAATTCGACTTGATCAATGAACAATGTGGGAGTTACAAAACGATCGACTTACGTGATTTTTAGTTTTTGTGACCTAAGTTCAGGCTTCTGAAGCTATCACTGGTAGTTTGGGGTTCCACTGGGATCATTGTCATTGGTTGGCGGAGTGCTATTTATTCAGACCAAGGTGTCGCCCACCACGCACTCCTCCAAAGCACTCAATAACTTTTATTCAGATGTTATCCGTGCCTAGACAGATAACCTTTTACTGATAGCTGTATGCATGTTGTCTACTTATTTTCAGTCAATTTTCTCAAAAAATTAGTTTGTTCCAACCAAAGGCACATAAACATTATATTATATTTCAGTTGGTGAATAGGTAGCCAATACTGAAGCAAATACTACGGTGTAAACACGGAAACTGAGCTTTTATTACGAGACATCATTTCGTACCCTATGTTTGCAGTGATACATATTGATAATTGTTATTTCAGTCAACAAAGTCACAACCTGTCTACATTTTGAAGAACATATTTGATAGTTGACCTCAAAAGTGTTCACCCTCGAAAATGTGACAAGACAGTCACTATGTGTCGAGTGTTGAATAACAGTCGTTCCCGGGAAATCGAAAATGGGAAGGGTATATATAAACTGTATCCGATATCTTTTTTGTACCTAAGTTAATGTTCATATTTGTAGACTGTAGATTCTTATCTATTTTTCAGTCTGCTGAAATTGAAAATGTAAACATGAAAAGTTCGATTCTAGCAGAAGAACGTAGAAAGCTTAGAAAACTCCTAAAAATAAGTCTGGAAAATCATATTCCCTTCAGGAGGTTGAAATAGAAGAAGACAAAATATTATGTAGTAAGGCATTGGAAAGCATCGCCGGACTAAATCAAAAAATTTCAAACTCAAGTCTTTGGCAATTAAAGCACAAAAAGCCTGCAATGCATGTAAAGTAAATCCCTTTTTTTATTTTTTAGAAAAAAAAATAACTGGTTGAAACGTTTGTTAGAAATGATCAGTGTTTGTCATCATTTAAAATCGTAATTGTGATCTTTTTTTAGACATCTGGTAGTCTTTCTCATGCATCACCTCCTTCTTAGCAACGTATTAGCATCACATTAAAGTGTATCAATTGAAGCTTGAGTACTTTCAAGAAGTTTGAAAACAGAATGTTAAATGAGGTTAATAAGTTGTAGGTGATAAGTGAAGGGGGATAAGAACTGTTAAAGAACAAGATGTTCAAGACTTTTAAAACGATAGCAAAAAGAAATGAATAGCACCAATTTTGAACGATGTCACCTACCTATCTTATCTCAAATTGTAGATTTTGGGATGTGAAATTTTAGGTATCTGTGATGATATGTAAGTTTTAGAGTAAGGCTCTTAAGAAGTCTTCAGATTCCTTATCCAGCACTGTGAGCAATAGCATGTTATACAACCTATGCTATACAATAATGATCCATTGTAGACAACTCAGTGGAATTTGACTGTCATTTAGAGGTTTGAATTGGCTAAAAGATGCAATATTCTTGGCTTTCTCGGAAGTAGATAAGTTCGTTATTGAGAGGAACTGTTGCAATAAGATTTTAAATAGTTCCACGTACAACAAAGAATTAGTGACCTTCGAATAATTCGCCTGCAACACAACCTACAGAAAAAGATAAACTGAAAACACAATATTTATTTTTTTAAAGGGTAAGATTTTTCAGCAGCTAAATCTATTTTATTTGACAAAGTAATTATTAGGTTGTAAGATGGGATTTATTTTTGCTGAAGTGATTAGTTGTACTAAGAAGAGCTCAGTAAGTCCATTTATAACGGAGGGGAATTTCGTGGAAACAAAAACTGATCTGGAGAAGCAACTAAACAGAAATTGTGTTCTGTCAAAAATTATGAAACAATAATTAGTAAAATGATCAAAGTGAAAAAAAAGTTACAAGATAGTGAGGTCTTATAACATAGTATCATAAAGGTCAGGGAAGAGAATAGGATTTCAAGGGAATTATTACAGATTAGCAGTTTACAGAACTAACTGTACAATAAATGTTCGAACATGTGCAATGTCAACGTTAAAAAAACTGTAACGTAAACTACAACACTGGTTGAAGGCTCTGTAAGAATCAAGAATAGCATAGAATCTATGTAGCATCTGAAGTGTTTAAAATGAACTTTAATATGAACTGTAAAACAATATCTCCATTGTTTACTGATAGGTATGAAAAGTTCTCAAGGGTCATGAATTCTGTGAGTATTTTATTTCATAATAAAGAGAATTTCAGTCAATCTCACAAACTAATTAGCGTTTTATTCGACTCATTGATACTATCTGAATATGTACTAGAACACTCACTGGAACAGTTCAATAATAAATGTCTAATTTACAAATAAGTCAGCTGCGTAGAAGTACATAAACTGACCCTGATCCACAGAAGAATATTGAGTCTCATAGTTCGTTAGATTGGATAACTAACTGGTAGTTATGTAACCGAATGAAACAAAAACTTAGACCACACTAGGACTTGAACTCAATGCAGCTGGTTAGAATTCATATCAGCCTCATCTGCATTTGTTCATAAACATTTCTAGCAGTACAGTATAACGATAATATGCCAGTTTTTTACTTAAAATCAACAAGTAGATTAGTATCATTTTCATTTCAGACTTCATGTAGGAAATAAAAAAACCTTTTATTTCTCTGTCAGCAGTGAACTTTCTAGAAAATTAAAACAGCCTAATAGCATTGACTGCAGGACTTATGATTAGCCGAAGTTAGCATCAGTTTGTTAAGTAGATAGCAGTGGCAGAGTTCAATCATCTTACAATTACTGATGTTTAAACATCAGAGTTTTTTCCTATGAGGTTGAATTTCTTAAAACTCATAAACAAAAAAATAAGTTTTTTAAAAATTTCCATTATAATTGAAAAGGCAGCTTACTGCATAAAGAATATGCCTGTCAATAACTTACTGCTCAGTTTTTACAGTTATAAATCCTCATTCATGAATCAAAATATAACCATGTGTGTTATCAAGAATGAGATTTGTTATGATACTCATTGCTAGCAAACAGTTAAGGAATTTTTTTTCAGAATTATAGAATTATATGAAAGGCAATCTAACAATAAATTATTGCTGGAACTTATCTGAAAATAAAATAAATAAATCCCCACAAACCTACAGATTGCATTACTCTTTAGTGCACACTACTGACTTTTCTCCAGATGAGATTTCCCGAAGTTCTTTCTAATGATGATGAAGGTCACGCTATATCGCAAAGTGACAGAAGTAGAAAAATGTGTTCCATTGGATTCCAACCCAGTGACTCAGTGGTGATGTGCTAACCGTGGGACCTTAAAGTCTTGCTTTCGATACCTGACGAGGTCATGGGTGCGCACTGCTGAAAAGTCCCATATAAGAACGAAACAGGTATTCAATGCTCCTAGGTTTTCTCTGATGACTACCAACTTGAAATCAATAAATCCCTATAATCAATCCCGAACCAAATTATTTCAATTAATTAGTTTCAGTTATTAAGTCAAACTCGGGGCTCAACATCTTCCGGGACACTCGTAACAACAATGATCTAAATCTTTATAATTTAATCAGTTATATATTTGAATACCGTTATCAGGAAACTTAATTCATTTGCGTCAAACATTTTGAAAAATTTGATCACATATATGCTTCTCCAGGCATTCTGTATGAAATGAGAAAATCCAAACCGGTCAGACGAAATTAATATGACCATAAGTAGTGTATGGATAACTAAAGCAACAAAGGAAGAATGCTGGTTTTGAAGCCACATTTAGTGACAGTATAAATATCACCAGGATAAGTTTAGTGAAGAATTCTGAGACCACAGTATGCCAGCATTCGTTGACTATTACCATTTGAAATATTTGAGTTTGTCAACCCAGCATGGCTAAATAAAGCTGTAGGGGGAAATGTAGATACTTTTGATACAAGCCCGTTTAGTCCAAACATGCTATGAAGCTGATATGAATCAATCTTTTTCCATCACATACACTAACATAGTTAACTTACTAAAAGATATCAGACACCGAATACTCATAACAGCAGAAACCATTGCTATTCGGACTAAGCAGCCTGAATTATGTGTGCAAAGGAAACACTACTAAGTTAGGCAGCTTTGGAATCAACAGATTACTGAGCACCCATTGCCTCAGCTTTTTGAATCTTAAACTTTCGAACTACTTGTACATATTCCATTGGGCCTTCCTTAGAATCCTGCTTTTTTTTCAAATCCTTTCATTTTCATCCTAATAAGTTTGTACAGTTTAACCTATCGATTTGAATAAACTATTGTTGTTTATCCCATTCTGCATTCATGCACAAAACACACCCAGCTCAGATAACACAATACAACCAAGACCATCCACCTGAGCTACAAATATTCTGCAGTATTTCACGCTGTACTTCTCCTCTACATCTTCCTGGGGTTTATCTGAAGGACGTACATTACCGAAGTGAGTAGAACTTATTTGAAGCTTGAATCGCAATCATTCAGTATTACAAGATGCACTGTCGTTCACAATCATTCAGTAGGTTATAGCTTCTGGGGAATTTGTTTTGATCATCGATTGTCATACACGATATACAATCATCAAAATAGTTAGGGCTTTTCAACGGGGTTTCAGTAATGTTTGATTCTGATATTTTCTTTTACTGAAGTTATTTCAGAGGATAATTTCCAGACTATTCGACATTCGGGACTGACTGCCGTACGAATTCTTACTTTAATCAACATTAATTCTTTGGTTAGACGGTGTAGATGTATGACTGTGGAAAGATGAGTTTTACCGAAAATTGCATAGTCTCATACTGAAAGTCAAATGTTCATATACGGTTATTGTTGCAGGCGATTTCATTGCACAAGTGGGTAGGTTAAGTCAGGCAGAAAGGCACTTAGGTGGCACTTTCAAAATCCCAGCCAAAGGAAGAGATAGCTGCGATCACGTGCTACATCGGTAATCAGATGATCACATATTTTCGATCAGTACGAACTTCAGATATCAAAAAAGACACTGTCATGAACCCCAAAGACAAGGAGCGTAAGCTCAAATGTACTTTTACAAGGAATCTATGTAATCACTATGACCAGAGAGATGGAAAAGACGGAGGCAGTAGGTAACAGTAGACAGTTATATACACTTATCAAGGAAATTGCGCTAAAAATAAGTCAATGGTTAGTTAGGTCATAGTGAAGAAGAAAGGGTCTATGGTTCACTTGCAGGGAAGACAACTGGGATTAAGAGTGGAACCCTTTGGGGGACAGGTCGACTGACCGTCCACTGACCATCGACTGTTATTTCTTTACCCAATATCCAGTCGGTCCCTGAGTGGGACACCAAGAAAGGAGTGGGAAACCTAAACGGAGGGTAGGCAGCAGGGCCAGACAGACTAGTTTTAGAGGCATTTAAGAACGGTGATACAGGATTATTGGTCAGGTTGACTGGAGTTGGCTAGTGTGTGGGAACCAGATATGATATTTACTGTCTGTTCTAAACCGCTGATTATCTCAGTCCTCAAGAAACGAAAGAAATTCCCCGGGGGATCAGTCTGATTAACATAGTGTCTAAGATTATAGGTTTTATAACAATGAGACATGAGTGGAGCTCGGGAGTAGCAGTGCTAAGGAAACCAGGTGGGCTTCAGATCTGACCTTGGATATATCGACCAAGTATTCACTCTTCGCCAGGTTCCGGAACAGGCACACTTACCGATGCCCAACACTATGTGTTTATCGACCTGAAGGTGACATTTGACTTCAATCGAGAGTTTTTATGAAAGTGTCTTTCATGAAAAGAGGTGCCACTTAATTATATCACAACATTTAAGGCTCCTTACTTCAGCATCTGTCGGCGTGTTAAAGCGTATGATGAGTTGTCGGGTAAGTTGTACACTTCTACTGGTATCCGTGAAGGATGTCCACTCCTTTCATTTATACTGAATTTTATCATAGACTTAATTATAAAAGTCCTCATTGTCTGATTTCCAAGGGATCGATCATATCTCAAGAGAGTCCGTGGTCTATCTAGGGTGCGCAGATGATGTAGTCCCGTAAGATGAAGATACTGACAAGATGCAGAGTCTTCTGGACACCCCGATTGTCAATTTGAAAATGTCTTGGATAGGTTTCTCATCACACAAGTTTTAATTTTTGCTCCGAGACTGTTCTTCAGTGGTGGTTGTTTAACTATGGGGATCGAAGTGGTCGAGTGCATTCACCACTTCACTCATCTGGGAAGTTAGAACAACCCTAGTGAGTCAGTGACAGACGAAATCTCTGTACGGATACGAAAGACCCGCTTGGCTTTCACCAGCTGATGCCATTTATCAGATTGTTATGATATTCGATTATCTGTGAATAGTCGAGGATACTGCTTTTCAGTTCGCTGTGTTATACTACATGGCTGTGAAAAACGGTAAATAAAGGTAGAGATGATGGAAAGGTTTTAAGTGTTTGACTACCGTCGTCTTCGTGACATAAGTCGTAGGGAGGCTTGTCACCTCATCCGTTAGGCAGAAGTCAGACGAAGTTATAAGGGAAGCTGAATGGATCCACTTCTATATACGGTTCACTGTTAATTTATGTGTCTATCCATTTCTTTCAAACCAGCCAACTTCGAATTTCTGAGTATTCGTCAAACAGTGAAATGTTTTCAATGAGTAACATAGTATGCATTCGAATATAAGTTTTTTCCATAGCACTGATAGCATGCAAGCAATATCAAAGTTCTTAGTTGAAGTCTAGACAACAAAAGACAGGCGAATAAGTAAATATACCGAAGTACACTTTTTAAACTGAATGAAGCGTTCGTTATGTATCCCAAGTCGCTATTTTTCGCATATATAGGTAGATTGTAAAATCATCTCTAATGACCAGATAAATACAAAATCAGTGAAGTGTTCAAAACAAGCATGATATTTTTTTTTCTATGTACGTCTCACGTTGTTACTGTTCTATTTGTCTGCCTTTCATGGATATGTATAGATGTAATCGTTGGAAAAAACAAGGTGTTCGACTCACCACTAAAATGATGTAACATGATGAACAATCTTGAACTTTTGGTAGTTATTTAACTGATACATGATTTTTATGAAATTCATTAGTACTGTGAGAAACCCATAAAAGGTTCACTTCTAGTAGGATTCTTTCGTGTTTATCAGCTATTAACTTCAAATGAATTATGAATGTTGTAATTTGTTGAGGGATTACACCAGCTGAATGCATCATTCAGGTAAACGTTTTTAAAAACAAACTGTCAACTAGTATGTTCGTCTACTAGGCTACGGACCACACCTCTGTTGTGTAGTAACTGACCTTGGTGAGGATAGTAAAATTTAAACTTATGGTATAGTTACTGAAATGAATGCGCTCAAGTTAATTAATCCAAAATCTTTACTTTTGGTTGATAAAGTAATAAAAAAAGAACGTCGGAAACTTTTGAACTCTATAGTCAGAGAAATAATATTTCGCCTTTTAAACTGAGTCACTTTTATCTGATAGCTGGAGTACTTCTGAGCTCTTTTACATACATCTGTTGCAGCTGAAACTGTCCATTGAGTTTGAAGAAAAGGATCGTTTACTGAGAGAAACTAAACAACGAATTGATTTTAGTGCCCTTTTAAAGACTACCATGAACAAAGTTCGTAAGGTATGTCAGCGAAACAATAACTTTCTGCACTTTTGATTTTGCTTGATAACCTTTTTCAGTGACCTTATATGTTCAATGGGAAATTTTATCTGAATACATGAATATTCCGATGGGTTGATTTGTTTTTAGGGTATGTTTGAAAAAAAAGTCGCATTTAATTGACGCTGTCGAGTTTACTGATTTTTAAAATTATCTGCAAAGTTGGTAGCCTTTACTGAGGTGTTTCAGAAAAGGAGTGGATGTAATGGGACTGTCAGTGAAACTCATCCGTATTAACTATAAAATATAAGCTGTACAAGATCAGATTTTTGGACTACGATAATGAAATACTTTCTAATGGACAATATTTTTATTCAGACTCCATTTCCAACGTTGAATAATATGATTTCAGCAATAGGTAAACTTTGCGGTCTTAAAATGAGTGACTAAAGGCTAGCCTAACAACAACTGAAAAGACCAATAACGTCCCTTGATTTTGTCGAAACCTGATTGGCCATTTTATTAGTTTTCTAAGTGACTTTCAAAGTCACTCCTTATAATGATCTTACCAATAGAAAATCGCCATAGAGTGATCTTTGAGGGGATCGAACATTTTGCACTAACTGTAATATGAATAATTAATACGAATAGATTAGAAATAATGGTGAAAACATTTTAAATTATCAGCAGAGTTCACTCTGTACCTTGAATGATCTGTTTAGTCAAGTGTCCCATATTTCTCTACATGCCTAAGATTAACAGTAATAAACTTCATGAATCGCCTGGATGTTGACAAAGCGATAAAAATAGATACATTATCTAAAATTCCCAAAGAGTTCAGTGTATTAGTTATCTCATTTTATGTCGGATACGAGGAAAAACTCATGATATTGTTGAAGTGAACGTTTGGAAGAAGGCGTAGGTACTAACGATACTGAACGCAGTGGTACACTAGAACTGAGTACCAATATGACTATTCCCCCTCAGTACCTTATTCTTGACTGAGTCACACAAATAACAAAAGACAAAGGCTGACCTGTGATTGCAAGGACCACGATGACTTTATTTGATACACTATAGTATATATATATATATATATATATATATATATATATATATATGTATATAATTTTCACACAAAGTGTGCTAAGCCCAAGATAGATAACATGATCTTATTAGCTACCAAATCATCCAATAGCATTATTTTGTACATAAATAGGCATAAATCAAAATCTGAACAAGAACATATCTACCCCAACGGCTGATGATATTGAACGTTGATTATCTTATTTGACGATTTCCTACCAACTTAAAAAACTGCTAAATCTTTATAGAATTTCACTGTTTCTGGTTTCAGTTTGGATTTTTTAGAAATGGTGTTCACAATGAAATCATCTTTGAAGACAGAAGGATGTAAACACGTAAATACTGAATCTACGTGTATCGATAGCAAGTACTTTACTGTCAGTGTAAGACTTGGTAACTATGGTTAAGTATACTTTCATGTAGAAGCAAGTTCCGTAACACAAACCACTACCTACCATTTAAATGAGTACAAAATGTGGTGGAGATGGTATTTACATAACATAGAAGCAGAAATCTCAACAAACGACCTGAGAGAGCTCTTGATGAGATGCATCTTTTACGTGGAGTTTAGTTCTAACAATGACATGTACCAAAAAATGACGGAATTACAATGGAATCCTCACTGAAACCTCTGATAGCAGATTGCTGCATGTCAAAATAGGAAAATTCTAACCTTAGCTAAACTACTAACCACTTAGATATCTACAAAGGATAAAGGGTTTTTATATTTGTTATTTGTAATGCAAGTATCTATCTGGATGGCATCTCACACACGTTAAACAGCTGTCACTCAGAGTTATATTTCGCCCTAGTGAAGGGATTGGAACTAGTTATTCCTTTTTTCGACATGTCAGTTGTGAGACGCAGATCCACCTACCAAAAACCTACATACAGTGGACAGCTTACCAACTTCTACGGTTGAGTGCCGACATCAAAGAAAGAAACCTTATACACTTTCTGTGCTATCGGATACAAAATATTTGTAGTACAAGTTGTATAGCAGCTGAACTTGACTTATTAAGAAGTAGACACGCTTGCGGAAATGGCTATCCCAGCAAATTTATCAATAAAAATATGCGCAAGAGACATGCGAAACCAGTCATCAGCTCAGTTTCTAAAAAGACGTAGTTGATGAATTTGGGAATTTAAAGTTGATGAAACGTCAGAAACTGCTAACAACCGTCTTTCAAGATCGATTAGCAGAACACTCTTCTCATTTGAACTTTACTACCATAAATTGTCATCTTTATGTATAAAAGACAGTATCCTTTAACAGGTCGCTTTCGGGTGGATCCAATAATTCATCAGCTTCTGTGGAGAAAGGTATATCAGCTATAGTCAGAGATTGCTGTTAGCATGCATACGAGGAAATATTGCAGCCCGGTTTTGCAAGTGTGAAAGGAAATGTATTAGAAGTTCAGTCCTTCAACATTTGATCGGTTTCAACCATTCACTTGATCCTAATAATGACTTTAAGGTTGTCATTCGAAGCCACTCAAATACCTCATCTTTTCTTCATCATTAACTCCTAAAAACAGCAGAGATCTAAGCTATCCATGAACTAAAGCATGACCTTTGTATCCAAAAGAAGTACCTATATCTTTGTCTCTGCTCTACCTTGGCCTAAATTTGGTCTTTCTTTCGTTTCTTTTCGACTTCTATCTATGTCAGATTAATTTTTGTATACTTATGTCACTATTATCAGTATTGTCATTTTTTATTGAACAGTTTCCGTAGCTAATTCATTTAATCTTCCCAACAAATGCAACTTTTAACAAAACATTTTACCTTCGCCTAAGTTAACTTATGGCATTCAAATAACCAATTTTTTGATCATTTATTAACTTTGGCATGCTTTCACCCGTTTGTATTCTGTAAATACCCTATGAACCATTTCAAAACCTTACGTAACCTCTTTTCGTTAGCGAACTTTACGTTATCAGCTAGTATCATTATTTATAGTAATGATATGTAGTGGCTAGTAGTGGAATCCAAGATGCGCACTTCATCCTATTTATGACTCGTCAGCTGGGTGTGCCTGCCACCCAGTGAGTGATGTTGTTCCCACTGGGATTCGAACTCGGGACCAATCGTGTCAAATCCCAGAACGTTATCCACTAGACCACTTCTTGTGCGGCGGGTATAGTTTTGGTGTTATTGCTCGTATTATGCCGTCTTTGACTGGACCGAATTGATCGATCTTATCATTATATATATATATATATATATATATATATATATATATATATATATATATATATATATATATATATTTATATATTCGTTACACATGAGTTATCAATACCTTGAAATCTGTTTCTAGGTGAATCAGTTTTCTTAAGTCCTCATTGAACCTTACTCCCTTTTTGACAACTTCATTATTTTATTTATATTGAATTTGTTAAATTAATTAAGTCACTTCAGCAATATCTTCCTATGCATATCTTCTTTATATCTCAGAAATTGAACGATGAAATGAAAGTTCTTGAGGAGTCGATAAGTGCGGCGGCTGTTTATCGTGTACCGTCAGTGTCAGATTTTATTGAGAGTGTTCTAGAAAATAAAGTGTTAGATAAAAAGAGAAAAATACAAAATCAAAAACTTAGTCTAGCTAAAGTAAGCTACTTTAATCGCTTTTAACTAGTATGAAATTTATCAGTTCATTACTTGAACAATATTCGTTTTTATATTCTGAACACATTTTGTCAATGTTTAATGGGCAATTACGTGATGAAGTTATGGTAATAACATTTTGAAACAATACTGTTACTACTCGTTAGAATGCTGTGAATTCTCTTGCTTCGGTGTGCTTGTCGTTGCCCTGAGTTCAAGTCGTAGTTAGTATGTAGTGTAAATACGAGACGGTAAGAATCAGTGGCTTAGGACTCTTGGTGACATAAGGGAAAAGCGGTCACAATGGTGCAGACGTATTTACTCCTTGACATTTAAAGCCTAAATATTTACACTAACCTTTATCTTTAGATTATTTAATCTCTCATACTGCTTTATCGTCCCTGATTTCCCTCTTTTTCTATTCACCTCTTCCTTGTGTAAAATGTGGCAACTTGAAATGATGCACTAGTGTACGAGATTCTATGTTGATTTTGTCAGTCAGTTAGTCAGTCAGGTTGATTTGGTTTGTTCCACTGCTGTAGTCTAAGTGGTACAGTTCAAGTTCATGATTCCGTCAAGAAAACAGTTTCAAATTGTTGCTCTTATAATTTGGTAATACATCTTTTACCTTTATCCATAATTGTCTTGATTGATCCACTAAGACTCGAATCCGAGATATTATTGATAAATGTAGTAGTACTGGAAGTGCACTGAGTATTTTGCTGTAACAAACAGTAGTAACGCCAACAGAAGTGTCTCATCACATATACGCAAAATAGAAAAGATAATTATTTGATCATGAGGGCAATTAAGCATCAAGAAAGAAGTGATCTACCATTAGAAGAATACACAAAGGGTGGGTTTGTTATTTACCATTTTACGTCGCTGAGGTACCCGGCTGCCTCGCCATCTGTGTGACTTTGACACATGGGCACCGAACAGTGTCATGATATGGAATTACGAGAAGAAAAGAACATAATTATTGATGAAAAATTTAAGGTTTGAAACTGTTTACACCGTGTGTTTTGGAGAGGGAATTTAAAAGACCTGTTTTCGTTCCAGTCTATACGTTATCGAAATGGAAACAGGTATTAGTGAAATTTGACAATATGTATATAGAACTATAATTGCTTAGAATGATGAAGGATAATTACTTAACTAAAGAAGATAGGAGTAAATCAGAACACTAGCAATTTGTATGAGATGCAATTTGTGTGGGAGAAAATGTCTCGACAGAAAACAATTCAAAAAGTGCAGTAAGTAAAAGAAATAAATGGAATGGATGTGCCTAATAAACGCAAAATGTATGAACAGTTTACGAATTTTCTATCATGGATGTCATCGTGGTATTGATCGTGTGTAAGGGAATCAGCACAAAGAGAAATTTCCAGGTTAAATGCAGAGCGTTAATCAAAGAAGGCATATATTGCTGAATCCTAGCCACCGTCTATCTCAGTGTAGACTGTTAGCCGAAGTAGAATTAGGTTAGAAGAAACCTGGAGATTATCTGACCAGTGCTTAGGATCAGTACATGAGGTTTGTGAGTGTCGCTCTGAGTTATGTGCGCTTTCGTGCTGAAATCCCCGAGACGGTAGGAATCAATAAGTAGCTGAGGACTACTGATGATTTGGCTGAAAGTTGACCATAACAACCTAGATGCGTACTCTTCCTAACATTTTCAAAATTTTTAACTTTTTGTGAACCCACATCTATTTATCCACCCTCTTCCTTTTCACTCATATCTGTTTTGATGTCATACATTTTTATATCCACTTCTTCTTCACATACTACTGTAAATTGTGGCAACTTGCACGAACGCATTTTTATACTACGTTTTACGTTGAGTCGTCCATTCGTCTACATGAATAAGACGATTAGCACCAAATTCACGACATTAATAATACTTACAATTACATAGGACATAATCGCCTTTAGTGTATCACTAAGCTGATGCTTTTGAGACACACCTAGTTTTCTTTATATCATATGCCTAATCTGATCAAGATAAGGTATGTGAATTTACAAACAACCGGATGTTGACAACTATTTCTCAGGCGATTATGTGGATTCACAAGTTTAGCAAATGCTTTGGGTGCTATACTCATGATCCAACTCCTAACCTAACTACTAGTCACGTACTGATACAATTACAAAAGTATCGGTATTCTTAATGCCCTATTAGTCAGATTTTTTTTTAAATCTTTTGAATTTGTTCTCCTTTGTAGACATGAAAGAACATAGTATGCAGCTTCTGAATATGTACTTCTGCAAAATGTTAAACTAGTATCTTTTTAATAGAAGCAAACTTTAAACATACATGCATTCGAAAAAATTATGTATGCTTTCATTTTGTGTGGCTTTACTTGTCTTGTTTCATTTAGATTAGGTTGAATGAACATAAAAGACTATGGGCCAAATTGAAGTATGAAGATGCAGTGTAGTTAAAAAGTGAGTTTTTTTCAATGAAATCTTGAAAAGTCATTCTCACCAAGTAACTCGACAGTAAATGTTTGTCAACTTAGTTAGTGCATCTTCTACATACTTAAGAGTATTCAGTTTTCTATGCCCACCTAAGTTTTGCAACTCTCGTTCTCCATCAGTCGATCACATTGCCATTAGAGGGCCTAGCATGACTGCTTAGCGGTTCATACTACCAAACATCACATCAACGTAGAAGGAATGGAGAACAAGTAATCAAATATAGTCTATCGTCAAAAGAAGTTGCGGAGAGGTGATAAAACAATAGAGAAATGCAATATGATGATTAAGATGAAAATAATATGTACGTGTATATGATATTTTGACTTCATGTCAGTTTATACGGTTGCCTTACTTCGCAATTAACGTTGCTCTGTTTCGAACTAAAGTATGTTAAAGTTGTATTCTGATATGCTGTTTTAAATATTATAATTTATACACAATTGAAGAGGGTCGCAAAAACAAATAAACATTGAAAGAACTTAATAGAAACATAGTATAAGCTAAGGGTGCAATACCTTATAGTGGGATGATGGAGAATATATGTAGCTCAGGAGGAGGATTCTCGTGTTGTGTCCTCTGAATTGGATGTTTTAACCCTATAGCTCCTAGAAAATAACACTAATAAAGCGCGTTAACCCTCAGAAATACATTAGCACCCTCTATTTCTTATTTTCCTATGGCTATACTGGTATCATTACTTCAACTTCTTGTAGCCTGTGCTCCTGCCTGATCTGCAATCGTTGAGCATAAAGATGAGGATAAAGTTAAACACCCGGACAACAAATTATTAGTTGAGTAATAGTCCCCACGAATCTATACTATTTGAATGATTTGTATAAAAATTGAGGTTGAAATGGCAGAGAGTTGTTCAGTTATCTGCTTAGATGGATAGCGAGCACTGATTTGCATGTCTTGATCACTCAGTTCTATAGTTTTACAAGTATTATGAAAATGGAGTAATTCCGGTTTATTTTGTGAATTCGCATCTGTTTCTTAACTGGTTAGATTGTTGATAAGAGAAATAATGGAGGAGAATCCTTCTTTCTGTCACAGACAAACTTTTGAAGGACTTGGGGATTATCTCAGTATTTTTTTTATGAAAGTCACATATAATCAAGTCGTCTGATTGTACACAGTAGCTAATGTACATGTTTTATTCAGTTTCACGATTTGTACCACGGAGGACACCTACAGTCTAATGTAGACTTTAAGTTTGAAAATTTTGACCGGCAAACAAGATGTTTGATAACAGTATTTCAAAGGTGTTCATGAATAAAAAAAATTGATAAAGAAACTTTCATAATCCATTTTTCAGTAGACACCTGACCGACTGAGCAGTTTTGATCCTATGTATAATGCTAAGAATGGAAATCAGTCGGTAAGGCTGTCAAAATACACTGAATAAAGTTGCTCGAATATGTGTTGTATATGCTTAGGCACCAACTAGGTTGAATGAAAAAGAAAGGATGGTCAGATTACGATACAGCAATAGGGCCTGAAGTCACTCACTACATTTCTACTTCAGATAGGAAAGCGTATTTCAAATTAGTTGGAGATCCTTGGTAAAGTTGCACAAAGCCTCCAACAGCGACTTATGTGTACTCTCCCTTTATTCACTACCTGCAAAATAGTGAGCCCTTTTTTATACTTCATTTACTTGTTCTCCCTAATGTCATTTCCTTATTTCTTCTGATACTTTTCTAATTCGGTCAACTTCTTTTGGATCTGTTACAAAGCACAGAATTTCGAACTGTTAAACTTCTTCACTCCCTTACCTCTTCCTTCTTTCGTGTGACTTCTTGAGGCGTATTTAGAAGAAGATGAGTTTTCCTTCTTACTATGTGATATACTGTGTAGCTCACTGAAATGTTTAAAACTTTTTGTGATGGAAGACTGAACTGTCTTAGGATGGTTGACAAACACTAAACATGTTGATTTTATGTGATGCGATTAAACTTAAACTTTTTATGAAGGCTATGTTATTTACTGATTGTCCTTTCTACCTGTGTCAGAAGTTAGACAGTATTAAATTTTTCATATCAGGCTTGTTTCATCAAAGTGCGCACAAAACGTCGAAATACAATAGTGAAATGAAATATTCTAGTAATTAACACCCAGAAACCTGATACTATTACATAAAGTTAAATATCAAAGTACGCCGGAAGTATGACAGATATTTTTTGATACACTTGTCGTATTTGCTACCGATAGTGTATAAGTCTTTCATATAGTGTATTTCACTACCATCACTTAGCTCGTACAATCTTAGAGCAACTGCAATAAAAGCAAACAGAACTACGCCACATCAATGTCAACTATGAGATTTTGTTTGTCTCATACCGTTTAACATTTCGCTGCCCTTTTTAATTTATCTGAAGGAGGCTGTATCATAAAGTGTTTATGTATTGTACAACACGACTGTTCTACTATTAAAAAGAAAAACGGACAGATAAATGAAAAGTTAAGTAGTATGTGTTTCTTTTTGTCTAGTTTCTACATATCTCTTAGTCACTAAAATAACAAGTAGCTAAATGGAAGGTCTGCATCTTCCGACTTGTTGTTGACCTTGATATGTCTAAAACTCGAAAATTAGAAAATTAACGTAATATCACCGACTCAATTTATGAAATACTTGGTAAGTACTCAGTATTATCATTAGGGATAATTCAAATTACAGTAAAGTTATCTTAATCAGCATTCACCTGAATTTTTGCTTAGAAAGATCCTTGTTGAATAAAATTCCTTATTTACCCATTTAGCCAGGGAAAACGGTGTGTTTAGTTTAAACTATATAACTTGAAAAACATGCATTGTTTTACTGGTAGGAGTACTTTGTATTGCTCACTGATACAATTGTCGGACAGATTCATTTCAACAGGAGTTTATGCGTACGAGAAGACATTCAAAATCATGGGGACGTGGAACATTGAAACTTTAATCTACTTCAAAGGTTTCCTGTTTAGAATGAGACCTCTATTTTGAGACAATTCATGTTAATGTTGCACAACAAATAGGCTTGTAAAGTAGACAAGAAGAATTACAGAGTTTGACTGTTCATCTGTTGGAGCTTAAGTGTTAGGTTCTACTTTGATGTGTCATTCTGTCACCTGTTGGCAGAATTTAAATCAAGTAGCATAACTCAGCCAGACAGAAGAGCTATCGTAACTTGGGTAGTTTGGTAGTAAACTATGTAAACTTAGGAGCGTATTGTGAAGATTTAAGTCTGCAAGTGAATATGGGCTTTCTCAAGATTGCAGATACCTGTTATAAGGAGTGCACTAAACCCCGATAAAGCATAGCTTTCTACTGATCGACTCCTAACGTCTAAGCACAATATCATGTAACAGCCTGTTGGATGTACTGCACAAACTTCGATCAGCACTTAAGACATGACAATTGCTTTCGTCTCCATCCAATTTAAATACTTGTAGCTTTAACCGGTTTGTATCACTGCAGTGATGGCATAGTAAGTCACTGAAACATTTTTTGCGGTAAGAATGTCAGTTCACAAGACAAATGTGCCTTCTGTCAATCGTTTCTCAAAAGTCAATGCAATCATCTGTCATTTTGTTTACTGAATATTTCCTTTTCACTTTTCAGTTAGAATATTCCAAAACAAACGATTCGGAGCAAAATGATATATATATATATATATATATATATATATATATATATCTTCCTCATTTCGGCACATTTTTTAAGTCAAATGGATTAAGAGCTACAGAAAGAAAATACCTAGAATGGATATGTATTTACTTTCCAAAAATGGGGGGATAATCTGTCCGGCAAACAGAGTTGCCGTTACCCTGACCCTCGGTGGAATTGCTTTTCTTTCGTTTAGGTGCCAGAAGATATTCTACTTACGGACTTACTTCTATTGTCTTAATACTATTTTAGCTTCACCAGTTAAATTATTTATTTTTTATTTGTCTCTTTTTAGTCCTTTTATTATCATTAATAATAAATTATGAAAAACAGTTTATAATTTTTTTTACCTCACTTCATCACTTGGTTTCTTCGTTTTGTTATTTACTGTCACTTACACATTTATGTACACAGGTACGCATGCATGCATACAATCCTACATACCGGCAATGAAGACAAATTAGTGTAAACAAGCGCAATCACCTTATTTTTTTTTTACTGCATACTCATCTTTTGACTGAAAATGCTAAAGTGGAGAAATCAATTCAGCGAACCGATAAATTATAGTTCTTGAGAGAATCATATCCTGAAGAGATTGTCGACTTTAATGTGTGCAAATCAACTACTTAATTACAAAATGAGGAAACTGGGAAACGAGTCCATCAGAACTTTGATGCCTAGATCATCAGCATAAATTTTATCATACTACACTTAAAGTTCCTTCATCAAAAAATATATATCTCAAGCAGACTGAAAAATAAAAAGATATTGAAACGAAAATGAAATACTTTGTTGTGAACTACAATCTTAAATGAAGATTATTCTATACCGACAAAAAAATTAAAAGAATAAACAACTTCCCATTTATTAATATAACGTTAACTCATCAAAAGAGTATTTGATCAAAAAAAAAGTTAAAAGCATTAAAAAATATGGTGCAATCGCGAAAGCGATTTTGTTGATATTCTCCATTCACCAAATATTAATATTATTACTATTTATCCCACGAGTAACAAGTGGAATATAATGATTCAGTAGCACGTCGCCATTCCACTCTCTTCTCTTCACTCTCCTAAACCTGGATCAACCGACTGCCAACAAGCTTCCATTTCTTCCTCACATGATCTCATCCATGTCACCCTCACCTCAGATGCCCAACTCGTCGTTTCCCATTCGGGTTACACTCGACGACCTGGCCTCGACTGGCCTGGCCCGGCCTGGCCTGGCCTGGCGCGTCATCTCCCCAATCAGTCTTCTCAATGTATACCCTATCCAATCCAACCCATTTAAACTCTCTTCTGCACATTTGTTGAGC